TGAGTATCAAATACTTCATTAACACTAGAGACAAAATTTTAAGTTAGGCAGCTTCATTCACTGCTGGACAACATTCCCTAAGTACCTACACGTGCCAAGCACTGAAGAAGCACCTGGGAGTAAACCTCATGGTGAAATACAGGATAACGACCTTCCTAGCTCACGTGGGACATCTGTTCTCCTGTCTCTTCCTCCCAGGCTCCCTAAAACTAAGTTAGCAACTAAAACAGGATTTTTAGTAACAATGACCTCCTTGGCAACTTTTACTATCTCCTGCTGCTGGAAAGGCAAAGAAAAAAAGAGGGAAAATAATATGTTTCGTGTAGGGGGAAAAGTCATAACTTGAAATTTGTAAAAAACTTGCTTTTCAAGGCAAGACTTCTATTTTTAAGTGAGCAAAAATTATGGGCTATATGAGAATCTAAGATAACTGGGTAATATTGGGCAAAAACAAAATAAAGATAAAATTTAACAGGTGTTTAAGTTTCCACACAAAGTATGTTCTTACTACTTTCACTGCACAAGCTTGGGCGTATATCACCGATCCCTGTGAGAACGGCTATTAAGTTATTCAAATTTTAAAAAGCAAACCTGTCAGTTGATGTGACAAATTATTCATATATTTACTTATACTGAAGTGTATGAAATTTTACTGATGTTACTGGAACCCTGAGCATTACCTGTTTCACTTTTAGTTTCTGCTTTTAGGGGGGAAAAAGTTAAAGTTACACATATTGCACTGATGCAAATTATTTTTTCAAATACTTCTAGATATTCCAGTTTTGCTTAGGCTAAAGATTCTACAAGTAATAAAATTGTTTCATTTCTCCCTCAAAACCATTTTATCTTTTTAAAAGACAGTATCAATATAAAGGAATGAAATCACACTTTCTTCTCAACACTTTTCATCTCGATGTTCTCTTCACGGGCTCTATCCACCTCCAGCAAGATATGGAATGGTGATGAAAAAAGAATTATTGACTTAGAGTCACACTCAAACCATGTTTTTTGTTTGTATGAGGGTACTTCAAGAACTTTGTGGAAAAGTAGAACAAATCTTTCCACGAACTTTCTGAAGTACCCTTATATGCTAATCTTTTGTGATTAGTGTGGCACAGTGCTC